GTTTCCATCCGGGACATTGTGAACGTTCAGGTTCGACTTTTGGACCACCTGGGTATAACCCAGCTGCACGCGGCGGTCGGCGGCTCCATGGGCGGCATGGAAACTCTGGAGCTGGCCCTTCGCTTCCCCGACCGAGCCCGCAAGATTCTCTCTGCTTCCGCGACCGACCGGACCCGCCCTTACACCGCCGCGATCCGGCACCTCGGTCGCCGGGCGATCATGTTGGATCCGGAATACAAACACGGAAACTATGAGGGAAACGGCCCCGGATTGGGACTGGGTCTGGCACGGGAAATCGGAACCCTCTTTTATCGATCTAGAGACGAATTCAATCAACGGTTCCGCTGGCAGCCGATTCAACAGCCGTCCCTTTCCGGCCTGACTTTCGACGTGCAGTCGTACCTCAACCATCAAGGCAAGAAGATCCTCGGGGCGTTTGACGCCAACTCCTATCTCACCCTCTCCATGGCCATGGACTTGCACGACATCTGGCGGGACTATCCGTCCCGCGAAGATGCGCTCGAGCCCGTAGGCGCCGAGCTGATGATCGTCGGCGTCGACGAGGACCGGCTGATTCCGATCGACGAGCAGGAATGGCTTCATCATTCCTTGATCACCGCGGGAAAACGGAGCTATTGGCGGCCGATTTCGAGCCATGTGGGGCACGACACATTTCTCGTGGACACGGACCAGATGACCGTTTTGGTTCGCGAGCTCCTGAGCTGACCGCAGGCGAGCATCGTCGTGCGGCCCGAGGATTGCGACTACGCTGCCTACTATTGCGAGGAAAACGTTTGGCGCCTCGCCGGCCACCCAGCACTCGAAAAACGGGTCTGCCATGCGGTCTTTATCTCCAATCCCGATCGGACCTGTGCGCTTTGGCAGCAGCGAGCTTGTACCGAGGACGGAGCGCCGGTCGTTTGGGACTACCACGTGATCCTGGTCGCTCAAAGTACGAACGGCAACGGACACGAAGTCCTCGACCTGGACAGCACAGCGGGCTTTCCCCTCTCCGCGGACGCCTACCTAGAAGCGACCTTCCCCTACGGGTCATTGCTTCCGGCCAACCTTCAGCCCCGATTTCGAATGATCCCTGCGACTGAATTCAGGATGTCCTTCGCCAGTGATCGCTCTCATATGCGCCAAGAGACCAAGGAAGGCG